GCCACTTGCGCCGGTGATGATAATCGACATGAGTATAACAGCAGTCGACAGTACTTAGAGCTTCATTAAATGAAAGTAACCATGAAGCAGATCTGAGTATGTGCAGAGGACCCCAATACTAAGTCCTTGCACTAGAGTCTAAATACCTACTCCTCACTCATCCCGCGGGGCAACCCCGGGATCTCTTCCCCCACTCTCCAACTCTTACCTACCCCCATCCCAATCGCCATATGAAAAGACCGAATAGAGAGTTGTGATTAGCTAGGCAGGATGAACAAACGTCCCACGCGGCAATTCCGACTTGCGAGTAACTCGGTCAACAGCCCGATTGCCGAGTGGCAGGTTTAGGAAAACACGGCGCAAGTCCGAGATATATGAAGAGTGGCCTGGGAAGACGGGACGGACTATTTGCGACCGAATTCACATGAGATTGTTAACTAGCTTGCTTTTAGCATTAAAGTGGATTCTGTTAGGTATTTGGGGAGATTGGACACAGCATTACCTATTCGACCGCTGATATCTACTATCTACTGGCTGCGCCTGGTCTGAGCCAAGAAGAGTTCGATGAAAGTTCTTGGAAGTAGAAAATGAATTAACTCCATGCATGTTTCCAATGTCCAGAAACGAATTCTAGATTCCTTGACATAGAACAGAAAAAAAAGCGAGATACTTCAAGAAAAATCGTAGCACACTTGACGCCGGGACAGAGCACAAGATTAAGACATGACAAGAAAACTGAGAGAGAAAAAATGACACCGTTACAAAGAGACCTGCTTTTGGCTTTACGCGGAACGCTTGTAGATACCAGAGACGATACAGTGGTCTCGCTCGAAAGGCTCCAGGGTCAGCTGCTCCCTCGGCTTGATCTTCTCATCTCTCATCTTCTGGACCTCACGGGCAAAAACAACCTCCGGCTTGGCTGTGCTGTCGATACAGCTGGCCTTGATGGAAATGATGACACCACCCTCAGACTTGAGGAACATGTGGGCGTTCAGACCGACAATACGGGCCTGATCGGGCTGGGCAACATCGGCGAAGATGACGTCGACCATGGGGACGAGCATGCGGTAGCGCAGAGGGTGGCGGGCATCCTCGACAATGGGGATGACGTTTGTGCGGTGAGTAGCCATGCCGATGAGGTCACGGCCGGAGCGGTGGGAGAATTCAACAGCGTAGACGTTTCCAGTAGGTCCAACAATATCAGCGACGTGACTGACGGAGGTACCGCTGGCCGAACCGAGGTAGAGCACCTTGGAGCCAGGGCGCATGTAGATATCATCCAGACCACCAAGGATACCGGCAGCCAGCTTGGAACGGAAAGGGTTCCAGACACGGTATTCGGTCTTGGTAACGGCACCATCCTCGCCCGGGGGGGATTCGACAGCAATGCGCTTCTCGCCGTAGACAGCCTCTCCGGGGGTCAAGTTCTTGGTAACGAGCAAATCTTCCTTGCCACCGCGGGCGACGAAGACACCCGCGTGACGGTGAGGTTCCTTGAAAAGAATTCCAGTCAGTCAAGGCCAAACCGATCCTTGATGAAATGGGAATTACTCACAACGATGACCTTGGCACCACCCTTAGCACCGCCCTTGCCCTTAGCACCACCGCGGCCACCACCACGGCCTCCGCGACCACCGCGGGGAGCACCACGACCACCTCCCCGACCACGGGGAGCACCTCCAAAGCCACCTACAAGTGAACGAAAGAAAACGAATCAGCAACGATCTTCCAAAGGAACACCGCGGGTCCATGTGTCCTAAGCGTCGCATTCATGACAGGACATAACTCGACCCCAGCATCAACAGATACTATAGCCGAGAAATATCGAAATGCAGAGCGCCGGACAGTCACCCAGCATTCCCATTTAAGTTGCACTCGGTCAGAACAAACCTCTGCCACCACCACGGCCACCACCGCCGCCACGGGGAGCACCCCGACCACCACGAGCACCACCACGTCCTCCTCTAGGAGCACCGAAAGCCATTATATGTGTGATTCTGAGTTTGATCTGTGTAGATGCGAAATTGGAAAATCGACAGCCGCAGGTAGAGGCTGGAGTTGGCCGCAGGCGTTGCTGTGCTGGACCGAAAAAATTAAGAAAAGACGGGCGGATGAATCACTCCGAGATGGCGAATAGCGTGCAGTGCAAAGATTTCACGGTTTGGCGAGTGTGAAGATTCACAAGAATTGCACGTCCGTGCTGGTTGTCAGGTTCGGTCGAGGCCGTGCAGCTCGTCGATGTTGCGGACGAGTTTTTTTTCAGACAGACTGCGATCTTTCGAAAATCTAACGCGCTAGTTCCTTTACGGACTAGCTTCGGTCGGAGCTGTGGGAACTGGAGAGCACGTGATATGGATTCTGAGACGAGGTCACCTGACAAGAATGAACCCCAGCCACCTTCCCAAAGTAGACGGGAGTCTCTGTGAGTGCACCTGCAATGCACCACTCACCTCATACACAGACCCTTTCTCGACATAGCTACAGTGCAATCTACTGGCACAGTGAAATATTGTTACTACTTAAGTGCCTAGGTACTCAATCTTACATATTTGCTGGGTTTGATTGGCCACAGCAAGCTTCGACTGAGCAGTTGAGAAGGTGGAGTAGTAGAGAGTAGGCGCAATGTCCATCCGAGAGGTCCGTGTTTGAGGCTCATCTACTCCCATACTCATATTTGCACCATATGAAGGACTTTGGACCTCTCCGCGATCAAGGTACATTTGCTCGTACATACCTGCATGCCGGACCTGGGCGGGGATGGTTCCATGTTTTATTTCATTTTTAAGGTCTGGTGCTAATATGACAAACAAGCCCTGCTACTGGCCCGAAAATGCGCTTTCCATGGTTTATTAAATATATACATAATCAAGTAGCCGCTAGACCCCCCGTCCTGGCGAAGTCGTCGCCACTCATTGCCCGTATAGATAGTAGTTCGCCGCATACTGAACGGTGAAAGTCTCTGGCATGCCCTCGCACGTCTTCGGTGGGCTTCCGCCCGCCGTGTCGACACGGTAGACACTCTTGAATCCCCCAACAGTGCCGTTCGTGGCGCTGAGATAGAGCCATCCAACGGCTCCATTGCTACCCTTGACCGCATTATCGGGCGCCGCGATATCAGCATCCTTCTTCACCTTTGCAATCCCAAGCTGTCGGGAGGGCGTGGTGTCGAGGTTGAATACTGGTGTTTTCCCCTCGAAGAAGTGGTGGCCGATTAGGCCGAGGTTGGCTGGGGGAATGGGGTCGCTTTCTCTGCTGGGCAGTTTGATCCTGTATGCAACGGCAGGGAGGAGTTCAATCATTTCTGGGAAATTGGCGGCAAAGCAGGTGGCGTTGTAGAGGCGTGCGACAGCGCCGACAGCTACCGGTTCCGAGTCCGCAGTTGAAGTTGCACAGGTGTAGTTCTATTGGGTGTTAGTGGGGTGTTTGCCATTTGATGCAGGACAAGGCATGCGTGCTTACCTGTGTGCCTCGGCCAAGTGTAACATATAGCGGTTTCTGGCCCGTGGGGGCTGGAAGACCGGAGGCGAAGGATGGCAATGAGATGGAGGAGGCATCACAGGACAATGAACCATCGAAGAGATCTCCTATGTTGTGGATGCGCCTGCTTACTCGGCCTAGGAATTCTGCCATCTCGTCCGAGAAATCATAGAAGTTCTCGAAGATGGGAGCTGCAGCGGAGCACGCTGCCAAGCAGCTGGTGATGAAGAGAGTTGAACGCATGCCGGATGCTGAACAGACAGTCTTCGAAAAGAGGAGAGTGTAAATGCAATATATGAGAGATCTCAGAATATAACTTGAGAGTAGGCTCGAGAAAGAGAAGCGTGGAGGGTTCCCAGAAGAAAATAAAGAAATATGATGACCACCAGGGTATCAAAATCGCGGACAAAAGAAATGCGACTGAAGCAAATAAACAGAATTAAATCACACTGTGGCTGTTGAAGAATTGAAGTTGAACTGCAGAAAATGAAGGTGGCAGGCTCATGGTTATATACCCAGAAGGGCAACGATGGGCTCCTGCATGACGGCGGGTACAACCATGCGCAGAAGAGCGACAGCGACCGTAGTCTCTATCCGAGACTGCCAGTGTGGGACCTATAAACAGTATCGAGTGAGAGGACGCCAAAAAGCGCCCATGAGGGACCGGGGCAGCTATCCAGCTCTGTCATTGGACCCGGTATGCGCTGACAAGCAAACCTCAAGATCCGTCAGTTTGTCGACAACCGGAGTGTAAACAGGGGATTTCGGCCGGCGCATTGCACTGCAGAGACAGAGACCATTAAGGGCCGCGATTGGGTACTCCAGTTAGACTTGCAGCTGAAGAAAGTCCTCATTCGCGCGCAACATCCCGGAGATCTAATAATATCCTGGTCGGCGCTTAGGGATCGCCCTAAGAGATTTGGTTGCAGATGGGAGATTGGCCTTCATCTTGTTCCTCTGAGTGGCCTACGATCAATGCGGCTATTTTAAAGTAAACGCGCCTCCAGCTCCAACAATTGCTTGCTATTTTGGTCAGTCTTAGGAAACGGCTTTGTCGAAGAATGAAGCTGTGCTGGTCGAAAGATCGCCTGAGTCCATCACACCGGCGGTGCTTGCCTGGCGAGCGGGGAATTAAAGCCAGCTTGATCGAAGGTAGCCAATATTAGTAGCTCGAGTGGCCAATCATGGTATCAGTGAATTGGCCGAAGCGCCCTTGTAATTTGGAACCAGGAAGCTGCTCGACCTTGCAGGCGCCTTGTTTCAGTATGGACCTCGTACTGGGAAACGAGAGGTTGTGGGAGCGCTGATTTTGCTCATGCAACGGCCGGTACCTGAGACCCTGCGGGTGGCGGACTTTGGACCGGTGGACTTTACCAAGTTCGTCTAACTCTGGTGTTTTCGTGGGGGTCTGAAGCGATCCGACCTCGAGGGCTTGTAGCTGCAATGCGGAACACCATGATGGTAACCCTGTAAAAGATTGTGGCTCCCTATATATTAAATAGAAGTTAATCGTCTTCATCACTGCCCGGGTGGTCTAGTGGTATGATTCTCGCTTAGTAAGGCCCACTTAACATTACCAAACTCAGTTATCTTGTTACTAACAAGACCTCCAGGGGTTCACCCTTAGCAAATATGCGAGAGGTCCCGCGTTCGATCCGCGGCTCGGGCCATTTCTTTTTTGATTTTTTTTATTTTGCTTATATCAAACCAACATCAATCAATTGACATTATTTATGCTATGATGATTTTATTTTGAGTGTGTAGGCAGAATTATATGCTTGCAGAACTGTGCGATTCACTTGGGTGTAGTATGTGGTTACATGGGTTCTACTTATAGTGAGATTAAGTCGGCCCTCCAAATATATGGGACCACAGTAGAAGTACATACTCCTATAGCACAGGGATCTTGCAGTAGAACATAGTACGCACGTACCCTTAATGTCCACATACCATGCTGATGACCAAAGTGTCCAGTAGAGCTGTCACAATACTATAGAACGTCCCTTGTGATATCCAACGCAAACCCAACAGACCCGACTTGTTTCGCGATACCTAGATTACCCTACTATTGGAGCCAAGAGCTTAAAGAGCTCAACCCTTCCCAAAGTCAGCTGGCAGCATCCACTGGGGGCGGCCATGATAACTCCACCCTACAATAATCCACAGCGTCGTTGTATCCTATAATTACGAGGAAGTAGCCCATGGTCAATCAGGTACTGCCAGCGGTAGGATGGGAGGATGGGTGCAACGTGGCCCGGCGCCAAATGCATGCAAGAAAATGCCGAGCAGCTGTAGGCGCTGGGGAAGTGAGACAGCCATCTGCTTGAGATGTTGCTGGGCCACTCAGGTCAAATTGATTGATTACCCTTTTGACCCTGTGATTCGGAATACCTTGGTCAAATGGTCCGATGTGTTGGCGGTCGAACCGGTAGGTAATGGCTGATACGGCCAGGTGCGAGGATTTAAATCACCGAACCTGATGGGAATGCACAAGTATTAAATACGCACATGCTGCCTGTTGTTGACAGCAAATACCTAGATGATGGCTGGCGACTGCGGTAGTGGTCCTATACATACTTGAAGCTGAATAGACATCCATGAATGGACTGCAGAGAATGTGCGGACCCAGATTAGTGCACGTAATCCATACCCATGACCTCGATGTATATACTCGTAAATGGCTCATACGCGAACTTCAGAAGAAAAGCCTATCCCGAATCCAACGCCGCAAGGAACTGACTGGAAACTGTCGCAGCTAAGAATACAATAATCATCCTAGATCACCCCGCATGGTCAAAGCCCACCTGCTGCCAATCGTCGTCATGGAGCTGTCCGCTATAGCCATTGCCGCTGCCACTCCCCGAGCCCATTGCAGCGGCTGCCGTGGCGCCTAGGCTTGCAGCGCTGTGCCTCTCAATTTCCATTGTACTCATCATGTACAACATAACGAAGAGCAGAATGTGAAGGGCAAAACAGTATCCTGCGAAGAGATTACGGCTGGTCCGATTCGCAAGAATGATTCGTGTGAGCGAGAATACCACTCGTTCAGGCAAACTCATCCGTTTGTAAGCGCGAGTGGATTCGCGGCTTCGGAACGCAGCAAATGGAGAGATCTGGGCCTCATACGCGGACTGGTAACGGTCAATGGACAGGCCTGAAGGTGTATCGGCGGATGGATGAATGGATGAAGAGCTTGGCTTGTTCGCGTACGCTGATGCAGAAGACGACGCGCCCTGGCCCCGGTTATAGGTTGAAACATAACGTGTCTTTTCATACAGGTTGAGATTATCCTTCTGCAAAGAGGCGACCTCCTGCCTGAGAGCCTTCACTGTGCTGTACGTTTTAGACAACTCCTCTTCTAGTTCTGCATTCTTCTTCTTGAAGCGGTCGCGTTGGGCCTGGATCATAGGCAAGAGACCAGACCCTCCGCCAACCGGCTCACCAGCACGAATGGCGTCCATGGTGTTGTTAGACGTAGATTGATCGAATCCAGAAATAATTGATGATGTCGGAGACACTGCTCCCCGCCGCGACGACTGCGGATACTTGGAGGTATACGTGCCAGCGACAGACATCGCCGAGGATGGGAAGGCGTTCGCTGCTTCTTGTTGTAGACGGAGAAGGTCATTCTCCAGGGTTGTAGAAAGAGTCTGCGATTTCTCTAACTCTTCTTTCGTCACAGAAAGATCTTCACGCAGTGTTTCGAGTTGACCCTGTAAATCGCGGTGTGAAACGCGCAGCACGGTGAGCTCATCAGTAAGCTTCTTGTTCCTCGCCAACAATAGCTGCTCCAGAGAACTATTTTTCCCGCCTTCCTTGCCCTTGGTCGCGGTGCCATTAGCACCGATGGCTTCCGCGATATCTCCTGCCTCCTCATCATCGCCAGCAGAGAACTCGATAGACTGTAGTAGGAGTTAGAGGCGTCATGGCAGGATATTCTTGGACTTCAAAAAACCTACTTTTATCATCTCCAACTCTCGACGGATATCTTCGTAATCCGCGACCTTTTCCAGTCGTGTTTTCAATTCTTCTTTCTCCACAGAAATCTTCGAGAACTGCCTCTCGGATTGTGAGATTTTAGCCTCCCACGTATGTCGCTCGGCCTCCCGGTCAAATCTGGCGGCATCCAATTTCCGCAGGAGCGACGAATTTTCTGATTGGAGACGAAGGTATGCAGGGTCTTCTTCGATAGATGCTGCTTGCTCCTCTTTCGAATGTGAGACAGCTTGAGCCAGCTCAAGCTTTAGTTGTTCGTTCCGTGCTTCCATCTCTGCCAATCTTAAGCTGGTCTTTTCGAGCTCGGTAGATACCAGCTCTAACTCGGCAGCGCTGGCGCCGTGGTGCGATTGGTCGTTTCCTTCCTCATTTTGACCCAAACGTTGCGAGACCTCGTAGCTGGCCTTGAGTTCCTTTATCAAGCGTTCCTGATTCTCCACTTTCTCCTCCAGAGTCTTCTCCTTAGCGGCCCAATTGTTGGTCTTCTCCGACAGCACTGCTGACCACGAGGTTTCGATTTCCTTGATCTTGGTATCCTGGTTGTCCTCTAACTTCTTCCTCGCGGCTCGCTCTTCCTGAAGACGTCGTTCCGTATCTTCTAGCTGGGACGTGAGGCGGTCAACAGAGCCCTGAAGTTGCTCCTTCTCGGAGGTCAATTTAGGAACCGTTTCTTCGGCAAGAACAAGTGAGTCGACCGAAGTTTCGAGAAGAGGATACGGATCGGGGGCTTCCGATAAAGACGAATACAGCTGTAGGAACGCGGACGAGGACGCCTTTCCTTGATTCGTCAGAAGGTCGATAAATCCTTGGTAAGCTTTTAAGTAGAGTCAGCCGGCGGCGCATTACGACAAGGCATTGTGAAGTCAACCTTTCAGGAGACCTTTGTACTCCGCCAACTTGGACGCATCGTCGAGTTTCCGAAAATCCTTCGTCTTCTGTGCCAGATCCTTTCTTTGTACCAGTGCATCACGTTGTTCAGCGACAATATCCGAGGCGGTACTGTCTAGCTTCGCGAGAGTATTAGACAAGTCGATACCTGCGGAGGCGGGCAGTCAGCATACGGGGGAACAACAAAATTAATTCGGACATGATACCTCTCCACGCCGCAATGGCGCGCTGAAACTTGTTTGCCCCCTCCGGAAGCGCCCCGTCGGACTGCGCATCAGAAGTCTGGCCATCTTGAGGTTGGGATTGGGGAATGATGCTCTCCGTAATGGCAAATGTGTCCATACTGTTCTCTCTTAGATCCGATTTCCTTGTCTTCAGCGCGTTGCTAAGTGTTATTATTAATATCCTGAGAACCCAGCCCCATCAGGAATAGGGTCCAGCTCCGCTATCTCGAAGAAGAACGATTGAAGCACAGGACGAGAACTTTTGGGAGTAAGTGCCCATGCTTGCTTGCTCCTATCGTGTTGCGGAGGACGCCTGGACCGAGCGGACCGACAATAATTCCGGAGGTGCGTAAGCTCATTACAATTTCCGGTAATCAGGTACGTACCCTGGGCCGCCACTGCAGGGCAAATGATTATTCAACCTAAGTGACATAGTATTGTTCATCTGCAAAATGAACTTGAGCAGCGAGATTTCACCCTGTGGACATTAATCACCAAAGACTTATGTATGCTGAGGAATGTTGACGGATCGATTTATCTGTCCTTGCTAGGGACGCATGTCCTGATTGCGACATTTGTATTTTGCCCTTCTTAAGTTATTCCCCCCTGACCTGACCGTATCTAAAAACCGTCCCTGCTTCGCTGGATGTCGCCCCTGAGCGTGCTTTATTCTCATCTCTCTTCATTACTCTGGCGATCTACTGTACTAGCTGCACGGTTCTTTTAAGTTCCGGTTTCCCTCGCCTTATTCCTGGTGCAACTAGCCAGGTTCAGGAGGGAGATACGGAAAAGACTGTATCCCAGGTAGGTGTAATCAAAGCGCCTGATACAGAGTAATTGCTCATATGTTGACTCTAATACTGTAGGAGATCCGGTGTCCGGAAGTGCCACCTGTTATCACGTACCGCTTTGTCCACACGCAGCCAAATGAAGAACTTCCCAAACCACAATATGGAGAAGTTATATACAAAGCAAAGGGGACTCTCCTAGCCAGAGGAGGGTCTGCAATCCTTGAATTGCCACCTTCGGGTGAAGTAGTCAAGGCTCCGACGCCAAAGCCTTTCTGTAGATGGAGGAGAAGACAATCGAAAGAAGCATGCGTCTTGAAGCCGAAGTTTACTAAAGAATCTGCGAACATGCATCTATTCCCTGGCTAATCAGATGGGACCCAGCGACTTGCTGCCTGACAGCTGCTTGGACGAGTTAGCCCACCCTTGAAAAAGAGGTAATAAGGTAGTAGGTACTACTACCTTAGTAGTATTGTTAGTAAAGAATACTTAAAAGGTACCTATACAATAAAGTCACCTGACCTTAGCCGGCTCAGCCTTTTAAAGCGGCAACATCCGGATTACAAGTCGATCTCCTAGGCACAAGAATACTTGTAAAGTAATTTTTTTGCAAGTGGATTGATTTATTATCAATATCTGTTGTATCTAGGTGTACTGGCTGGGTATAGCATGAAGTGCCGTACTACTAGTTAGTTGACTATGGCCCACCTGACTCAGCAAGGCTTAATCTGTCCGGAACCTTAAACCCCGGTTCTAGTCCTGATCCACTCCAA